AAAGGGGCAGTATACATACACCACCACGTGTCACCCTGATCTAGCTTTATAAAGGGGCAGTATACATACACCACCACCACGTGTCACCCTGATCTAGCTTTATAAAGGGGCAGTATACATACACCACCACCACGTGTCACCCTGATCTAACTTTATAAAGGGGCAGTATACATACACCACCATCACGTGTCACCCTGATCTAACTTTATAGGGGCGTAGTATACATACACTACTACAACATATCACGTCGATCTAGCTTTATAAAGGTATAGTTTTTGTACAGTCAACTGGTATTTTGTCAATTCCTGAGACTTATTTTTTGTCAATGCCTTCCGTGTAGCTTGGACCACTTCCTTCAGTACCGTCGGTTCTTAATCACATGCTACTTTCTGAAATGGTTGAATGTCAACCAATTCTTTTTGGTACAGCGACCCTTGTGTATTCTTTACATCTTCTTTTGATGCTTCCTGCCTCGTTCAGTATTTTCCTGTAGAATCCTTCAGTATTACAACTCAAGGCTTGAATTTTTTCTTCAGCTCTTTCAGCTTGAGGAATGCCTAGCGTGTTCCTTCCTTTTGGTTTTCTATCTCCAGGTCTTTGCATTTGCACATTTCATCATAATACTTTACTTTCTCCTCTCAAGACGCCCTTTGAAATCTTCTGTTCAGCTCTTTTACTTCATCATTTCTTCCTTTCACTTTAGCTACTCGACATTCAAGAATAACTTGCAGACACTCTTCTGACAACCATCTTGGTCTTTTCTTTCTTTCCTGTCTTTTTAATGATGTTTTGCTTTCTTCATGTATGATGCCCTTGATGTCATTCCACAACTCGTCTGGTCGTTGGTCATTAGTGTTCAATGTGTCAAATCTATTCCTGAGATGGTCTCTAAATTCAGGTGGGATATACTCAAGGTCGTACTTTGGTTCTTGTGAATTTGTTCTAATTTTCTTCAACTTCAATTTGAACACGCATATGAGCAACTGATGATCTGTTCCACAGTCGGCCCTTGGCCTTGTTCTGACTGATGATATAGAGCTTTTCCATCATCTCCTTCCACAGATGTAGTCGATTTGATTCCTATGTATTCCATCTGGTGAGGTCCATGCATATAGTCACTGTTTATGTTGTTGAAAAAAGTTATCTGTAATGAAGAAGTCATTGGTCTTGCAAAATTCTATCATGTGATCTCCAGCATCATTTCTATCACCAAGGCTATACTACTTTCCAGCTACCAATCCTTCTTCTTTGTTTCCAACTTTCACATTCCAATCACCAGTAATTATGAATGTATCCTGACTGCATGTTCGTTCAATTTCAGACTGCAGAAGTTGGTAAAAAATCTTCAATTTCTTCATCTTTGGCCTTAGTGGTTGCTGTGTAAATCAGAATAATAGTTGCATTAACTGATCTTCCTTGTAGGTGTGTGGATATTATCCTATCACTGACAGCACTGTACTTCAAGACAGATCTTGAAATGTTCTTTCCGATGAAGAACGCAGCGCCATTCCTCTTCAAGTTGTCATTCCCAGCATAGTAGACCATATGATTGTCTGATTCAAAATGGCCAATACCAGTCCATTTCAGCTCACTAATGCCTAGGATATCGATGTTTATGTGTTCCATTTCATTTCTGATGATATCTAATTTTCCTACACTCATACTTCATACATTCCATGTTCCTATTATTAAGGGATGTTTGCAGCTGTTTCTTCTCATTTTGAGTCATGCCACATCAACAAATGAAGGACCAATTAGTATCATCATGATACTGAGAAAGAAGTCATCAAGGATTTCATTTTACTTTGGATCCACTATCGACACCACAGAAGCAGCAATCAGAAATCAAACAATGCACTGCATTGGGCAAATCTGTTGCAAAAGATCTCTTTAAAGTGTTAAAAAGCAAAGATGTCACCGTAAGGACTAAGGTGCACCTGACCCAAGCCATGGTGCTTTCAACTGCCTCATATGCATGTGAAAGCAGGACAGTCAATAAGGAAGACCAAAGAAGAACTGATGCCTCTGAATGATGGTATTGGCAAAGGATATTAAATATACCACAGGCTGCCAGAAGAACAAACAAATCTGTCTTGAAAGAAGTACAGCTAGAATAATTCTTAGAATCAAGGATGGCAAGACTCCATCTCACATATTTTGGACATATTATCAAGAGGGACCAGTCCTTGGAGAAGGACATCATGCTTGGTAAAGTAGAGGGTTAGTGAAAAAGAGGAAGACCCTCAATGAGACGGACTGACACAGTGGCTGCAACAACGGACTCAAGCATAATGACTGTCAGGATGGCACATGACCAGGCAGTGTTTCGTGCTGTTGTTCACAGGGCCGCTACGCGTCGGATTTGACTCGATGGCACCTACCAACAACCACAACATACGTACACTACTACAACATGTCACCCTGCTAGCTTTATAAAGGCACAGTAATGTACACAACCCCGAAGCGTCACTCAGCACTCCTGCAAACTTAATTTGCCCATCACCCCCTCCTGCACCTTACACCTAGAAGCATGTCCTGAGACTTGAAAAGTGACTACTGGCAACCAGCAACAATGGTCCCACACTCACTAGGCATGCATCCCCAGCGAGGCACCACCTCTGCCTCATGAACACCCTCAGGGCCTAGACTGCACGGTCTGCTGTGTGAGGCCTGGCATGGGAGGCCTGGCATATATGCAGGCAGCTCACCTCTTGTAGGCCGAGTGATCGTTCTTCACGCTGCACTTCATGTTCTTCAGCTCATCCAGCACAGCAAACATGTTGATGAACTTGCCCAGGGTGAGCAGGTAGGCCTCAGACACGAAGTCCTTCCTTCTCTCCACGTGGCACAGGCGCCGCACCTCCCCGCAGAAGCGCTCGATGGCGTTTCTCTAACAGAGGACGGAAAGGCAGAGCACCATGCATCAGTGCCAGGCTGCCCCCAGCGAAGCCAGGCTGACCCCCCTTAAAGAGTCTGCCGCTTGTGTGAACCCACCAAGTCTGTGGAACTCAACAGATTCTCTTGAGTAGTTTCCAGACGTATTTGCTCTGTAACAATAATTACTTATTTTATGTCCGTAAAGTAAAATAATTTTGTTAATTATTCTAGCAAAGATGTCTACAATAAAATGTCTATAAAATAGATGGTTTAACTCTCAGAAATAAAGCAAATGAGAGATTTTTCCCTCTTGACGATTTTTAAGTTAAGACAAAACTAGATCTCCTAGTAAGTTCTATCTTCTCCTCTGGCTGAAGGAGTCTATAATGAAAGTCCTCAGACATCTCCAAAGTGCTTCTTAAAAAGCCAGCAAGTCCTTTCCTAATGCCACTCTTTGCCTAACCAATGAGCTCCACAAGGCCAAGGCAGTGCGAGGTTGAGAGGAAGAAAAACACCTGAAAAACCAGGTGAATTCAAAGGGCAAGTCGGCAGGAAGAAAATTATGTAGTTGGTACTGTTAGAAAGAACAGCCCTCAAGGGGGAAATGAGTAGTCACTCTCAATCTGGGAAGAGATGTGTCTGTCCTGAGGGGCACCCATGCTACGATCAGCAAGGTTGCTTCCGTCCTGTCTCAGACCCTGTGTGGCGGCTTTGACTGCTGTGTGCTATGTTCAATGAGCTCATGCTTTAAGAAAGGAAAAGTCATGGTGAGGGCAATGGCAGAAAACCTCAGCCCTCCACACTAAACCGTATGGATTATTTTGCTCTTTTTACCTGGAAGTACATAAAATTCATCAGTTTTGTAACCTCTGGCTCAAGGACCTCCACAGTTTTCTCATAAATCTCCACTCTGTTAGGCTGCTCATTGCATTTCACCTGGGAATAAGCAAACAAGTACAACAAAAAGGGTCAAAGAGGCTTCAAACCAGCTAGAAGTGGCTGCTGGAGCTGGTGGCCTACTTGGGGGAAAGGGGGCAGACACGGGAGGAAGCGGTTAGAGATGGGAAAGGAGATAGAAGAAGAGGTGGAGATGGGGGCAGGGAAGAGGGATGGAGGTAGGAATGGGGTGAGGAGGGGGGTTAGATGGGGAGGGGAATGCAAATGAGGGGAGGAAGAGGGCGGGAGAGGGAGTGAAGGTGAGGGACGGATATCAGGGAGCAGGTAGAGATGGGGCAGGGAAGGGAGATGGGGATGGAGAGGGATGAAGATGGGGAGGGGAGGTGGGGGCAGGAAGGGGGTGGAGGTGGGAGGAGGAAGGAGATGGAGATGCAGGTGGAGTCGGGGTTAGGTGGCACCTGTGGGATGGCCCTGGAGCAGCTCCTCCAGGTATATAGCATGACAGCGTACTCCTGACCCTCCTCCAGCATCTCGTTCTGCAACGGAACACAGGGCAAGTCAAAGGTAGATGGATGGAAACCTCAAAAGGAAGCAGGAGAACAGTCATCAAAATGATGTCAAACTGCTAAAATCTAGATGAAGAGGCATAATAAACTCTCTCAACTCTCTCCTTGAGATGGACAGACTCAAGGACTATGACCTGCTTGCCCAGAGGAAGCTGTGGCACTGCAAGCATGGCAGTGGGTGCTCAGGGGCATGGAGGCACCCCTTGCTGGGGCCACCGCACTCGCACACTCTTGGCTGCAATCAACCTACACAACCTGCTGCTGACTGCGGCCTGAGCACGGATGCAATGTCCACAGGGCCCTCCAGGCCTCTGCACCAGGCCACACGAGCCACCGGGGTTGCAGAGAAAACTCAGAGGCCGGCCTGCTGTCCTTAGTGTGCAAACAAAAGCTAGAAGTGTTTCTGCAGAACTTACAGGGAGAATTTCCACAGAAGAGGAATGCCGTAACTTTTAAAACCCCCTTTAGTGTTCTATTCTTTCCTTCATGATTTTCCTTTGGTAAAAATTACACTGATGCTTGTTAAAATGTCAACTGCAAATTGATAATCCTTTTAAGATGCTTTAAAATGGCCTTCCTTAAAGGCTAAAATGGCATTTAAAATGTTTACTACCTCTGACCCTGCAATTTCACTTCTATAAATCTAGCCAAGGGGAATAATGAAGTATTTATAAAGCACTCACCACAAAATTTTTTCCTAATAAGAAAAAACTAAGTAAACACAAAACAATAATTAAATAAACTGTGGGCATTTACAAAATGGATTATAAGACCCATTGCCGTCGAGTCAATTCTACCTCATAGCAAACCTACAGGACAGAGTAGAACTGCCCCGAAGGTTTCAAAGGAGCAGCTAGTGGATTTGAACTGCCGATCTTTTGGTTAGCATCAGAGCTCTTAACCACTGCATCACCAGAGTTCCAATTACAGCCATTAAAAATTGCTTTATCTAGCACATTTCAATGACATGTGAAAATGTCCGTGAAATCACTAAAATGCCTCATCATCAATACAACTCATTTATAAAATCTAAATTACACATGGGTGTGTCCCTGGAGTGTGAATCCAGGTTTATAAGAAGGAGAGAGGAGAGCTAACAGGGAGGGGTTCCCTCAGGACACTAACAAAGGTTTGCTCTGGGCCACAGATCCTCAATTTTTTTTTAAAGTATTTACTGTTTTTATAATAAAAAACAAAGGTTTCTTTCAAAACATAAGGCCTTTCATTTATTTTCTTCTCTTTTTCCTCACTATATATCATACGAGGAGAATACCAAAGACGCCCCCTTTGTCATCAGCCTGCCGCCCTCCAGAAACACAGGTGTGCAGACAGAATTACCATGCTAGAATGTACGGTGGCCTGCTCGATGTATCTTGCAATGCCAGTGACAAACGCATTTCTGTCTTCAAAGTTAGTGTTGAAATTTGGCTAGAAAGAAAGAGAAAAGGTATGTAGATGCTGGAGTTGCTGCCCTGTGCCCCAGTGGCTACACTTGGGGGTTTGGGGTGGGGCACACCTGGTAGAGCAGTGAGGAGGGTGGGGGCTCAATGCAGGGCTGCTGATCGGGCAGGGGCAGCTCCTCCAGGAGATCCACGTTGGACAGCGCATCCTCCAGCGTCACCTGGGCCGCCATCCTGGCACTGCAACACAGACACAAAGTCACATTTCCCATAAGGAAGGGCAGACACCCCAACCATCTTCCTGAGGCCGGGGTTCTCAAGGCCATGTGTCCCAGGATCCTGCTTCCCACTACCCTCTCCTGAGGGCCATTTGGGGACTTCTCAGCAGGAAGGCCTGCCCGCTCTGGGAGTCACCACCCAGTCTCTCTTTCATTGTACTCAAGTCGAACCATGCTCTCCTGGCCTCCAGGAGTGACACTGGTGCAGAGAACATGAGTGTGGACAATCGCTTCCTCCTACGGCTGCCCCCTTGAGCATCACTGTCCCCTGTGGCCAAATAAGGGGCATGCCTAGGAACTGCCCCCAACACCACACTGCTCCAAGGGCCACATGCCATGCCAGACCAGCACAGCGGAAGACTCAACAATCCTTCTCTGCACACAGACACTTCCCAAGTGGTCCCTCCAAACAGGATCACATGCTGGGGACTGAGACAATAGGACAGGGACCTGTCTCCTGGTGCCCACAGTCTCGTTGGACGGACAAGCCAGGATCACCAGGAACGCCCAGGCACCCCGTGGGGAGTACCACTCAGAAGGTGAAATGAGGGAGATGTGGTTCGCAGAAGACAGAGAATAGTGCACACGATGGCAAGGGAGAGACTGGGACGATACGGCCATGAGTCAAGGAGCACCAAGCATAGGCAGCAGCACCAGAGGCTGGAAGAGACATGGAAAGATCCTCCCCTAGAGCTTTTGGAGATAGCCCTGCTGACAACCTGATTTCAGACTTCTGGCCTCCAGAACTGTGAGAGAATAAATTTCTGTGTTTTAAGTCATCAGGTTTGTGGTAATTTGTCAAGCAGCCATAGGAAACTCAGCACTAGTCTGCTCCAGCCTCAGGTGAGAAGATGCCAGCACATCCAACTCAGCACAGCTCTAAACACAGCTCCACAGGCCTCCGAGACTGAAGGGCAAAAGGACACAGTGCTCTTCCAGGCCCGAGATGGATGGAGAAGAGAAAGGGAAGCCCCAGGGGCAGTGCAGAGAGGAAGAAACTGGGAGGAGCAAAGCCATTTATTTGTGGACTTCTGGGCCCCTCAGACCGAAAAGCGGACCCAACCCCATTGCACGCACTGAAGACTGAGGACTGGATGACAGGGAAACCAGCACTACAGATACAAAACAAACTTGATTCTGAAACCACCACCCTCACAAGGTAGATCAGAACTTTCAACCTAAATCTAACCAGGTTGTTTGCCTGCTAAAATAAAAACATAAACATTCTCATAGGATTTAAATATGGCCCAGAATTTCAAGACATTCAAAATGTCCAGATGCAATCCAATTTACTCAGCACACAAAGAACCAGGAATATCTCAATTCCTAAGGGAAAAGACAATCAACAGACTCCACCGCTAAAAAATAACACAGATGCTGCAATAATCTAGCAAAGACTATTTAAAGTAGCTACTCTAAAAATCTCTAACAATCAACCACTCCTGAATTGAACTGAAAAAGAGAGTCTTAGTAAATATGTAAATATATATATAGAGAGAGAAGAAAAACATGAAAATTTTAGAAGTAAAAAATACAATAAATGAAATAAAAAACTCCGACATGACGTCAATAGCAGAATGGAGAAGAGAGGAGTCAGTGAACCTGAAGATAAATCTGTTGCTGTTGAGTCAATTCCAACTCATACCGACTCCATGTGTTACAGAATAGAGCTGCTCTACAGACTTCTCTTGGTTGTGTGCTTTATGGAAGCAGACCACCAGACCTTTCTTCCGCGATGCCGACACAGTCCGAACCATAAACTTTAATGGTCAAGCAAAAACCATTTGTGCCACCCAAGGACCTTCAACTTGAAGACAGAGCAACAGAAATTATCTAACCCAAAAACGGAGCCCCTGGGTGGCACAGTCCTTGGCTGTTCACCAAAACGTTAGAGGTTTAAGTCCACCCAGAGGTGCCTCGGGAGAAAGGTCTGACAGACTACTTCCAAATAATCAGTCACTGAAAGTTTCCCAGTTAGCAAGACTAAGATTAAAAAAAAAAACAGAAAATAACAAATGTTGGTGAGGATGTGGGGAAACTGGAATCCTTATCCATTGCTACTGGGAACGCAAAATGGTACAGCCGTTGTGGAAAACAGTGTGACAGTTCCTCAAAAAACTAAAACTAGAACTGCCCTATGACCCAGCAATTCCACTCTGAGGTATATATCCAAAAGACTTGAAAGCAGAGACTCAAAAAGAGACTTGTACGCCAATGTGCACTGCAGCACTATTTACAATAGCCAAAAGGTGTAAACACCCTAACTACCCATCAACAGACGAACGGATAAACAAAAACTGGTACATACATACAATGGAATACTACAAAACTAGGTACAATACTGAAGGAGTCTTTTTTTTTTCCCCATACAAAAATTTATACATACACTGTTATGTGACCCTAGATGGTCTCCCCATACTGTGACAGCACACTCCTCCTTTCCACCCCAGTTTCCCCATGTCCATCCAAACAGCTCCTAACCCTCTCTTCCTTCCCATCTCACCGCCGGAAAGAAGCTGCCCCTTTAGTCTCTTGTTATCTACCTGAGCCAAGAGGCACACTCCTCACGAGTATCACTTTATGTCCCACAGTCCAGTCCAATCCCTGTCTGAACAGCTGGCTTCGGAAATTGTTTTAGTTCTGGTCTGACAAGAGAGTCTGAGGGCCATGCTTTCCGGGGTTCCTCCAGTCTCAGACACACCATTAAGTCTGGTCTTCCTACTAGAATTTGAGTTCTGCACTCCACCTTTCCCCTGCTCCATCAGGGACTCTCTGTTGTGTTCCCTGTCACAGTGGTCACTGGTGGTAGCCGGGCACCATCTAGTTCTTCTGGTCTCAGGCTGATGAAGTCTCTGGTTTATGTGGCCCTTTCTGTCTCTTTTGTCTTTGATGTTCTTCATTCTCCTTTACTCCAGGTGGTTGGGACCAATTGATGCATTTTAGATGGCCACTTGCAAGCTTTTAAGACCCCAGACGCCACTAACCAAAGTAGGTTGCAGAACATTTTCTTAATAAGCTTTGTTATGCCAATTGACCTAGATGTCCCCTGAAAGCATGGTCCCCAGACCCCTATCCCTGCTACTCTGTACCTCAAAGTGTTTGACTGTATTCAGGAAACTTCTTACCTTTGGTTTAGTCCAGTTGTGCTGACCTCCCCTGTAGTGTGTGCTGTCTTTCCCTTCACCTAAGATAATTCTTACCTATTCTCTAGTTCATAAATAACCCTCACCCTCCCTCCCCACCCTCGTAACCATCAAAGAATGTTTTCTTCTGTGTGGTCTTATACAATATTTGAACTTCTGTAACTGACTAAATTCACTCAGCATAATGCCCTCCAGATTTCCCCATGTTATAATAAGATGATCACAGCTTCATCGCTGTTCATTATCGTTACGTAGTATTCCATTGTGTGGATATACCAGAATGTTTAGCCATTCATCCGTTGATGGGCACCTAGGTTGTTTCCATCTGTCTGCTATTGTGATCAGTGCTGCAACGAACGTGGGTGTGCATATATCTATTCCTCTGACAGCTCTTATTTCTCTAGGACATATTCCAAGGAGCGAGATAGCTGGATCGTATGGCACTTCTATTTCTAGCTTTTTAAGGTAGTGCCAGATCGATTTCCAAAGTGGCTGTACCATTTTACATTCCAACCAACATTGTATAAGTGTTCCGATCTCTCCGCAACCTCTCCAGCATTTATTATTTTGTGTTTTTTTTTTTTTATTACTGCTAGCCTTGTTGGGGTGAGATGGTACCACATTGTAGTTTTCATCTGCATTTCTCTAATAGCTAATGATCGTGAGCATTTCTTCATGTGTCTGTCAGCTGCCTGAATATCTTCTTTAGCTAACTGCCTGTTCATATCCTTTGCCCATTTTTTAATTGGGTTATTTGTCTTTTTGTTGTAGAGGTTTTGCAGTTACCCTGCAGATTTTAGAGATTAGATGCTGATCGGATTTGTCATAGCCAAAAATTTTTTCCCAGTCTGTAGGCTGTTTTTTTACTCTTTTGGTAAAGTCGTTTGATGCGCGTAAGTGTTTGATTTTCAGGAGCTCCCATTTATCTAGTCCCTCTTCTGCTGTTTGGGCATTGTTACTTATGGTTCTTATGTGTTTATGCCATGTATTAGGGCTCCTAGCTTTGTCCCTATTTTTTCCTCCATGATATTTATCATTTTTGATTTTATATTTAAATCTTTGATGCATTTTGAGTTAGTTTTTGTGCATGGTGTGAGGTATGGATCTTGTTTCAGTTTTATGCAGATGGATATTCAGTTATGCCAGGAACATCTGTTAAAGAGACTGTCTTTTCCCCAATTAACAGACTTCGGGTCTTTGTCAAATATCAGCTGCTCATAGGTGGATGAACTGATGTCTGGATTCTTAATTCTGTTCCACTGGTCTATGTATCTGGTGTTGTACCAGTACCAGGCTGTTTTGACTACCGTGGAGGCATAATAGGTTCTAAAATCAGGTAGTGTGAGGCCTCCCACTTTGATCTTCTTCTTCAGTAATGCTTTACTTATTCGGGGCCTCTTCCCTTTCCATATGAAGTTGGTGATTTGTTTCTCCATCTCATTAAAAAATGCCGTTGGAATCTGGATCAGGATTGCATTGTATCGATAGATAGCCTTGGGCAGAATCAGCACTTTCACAATGCTGAGTCTACCTATCCATGAGCAAGGTATGCTTTTCCACTTACGCAAGTCTCTTGGTTTCTTGCGATAGTGTCTTGTAGTTTTCATTGTATACATCTTTTATGTCTCTGGTTAGATTTATTCCTAAGTATTTCATCTTCTTGGGGGCTACTGTAAATGGTATTGATTTGGTGATTTCCTCTTCGAGGTTCTCTCTGTTGGTATAAAGGACTCCAACTGATTTTTGTGTGTATCTTGTATCCTGAAACTTTGTTGAAATCTTCTATGAGTTCTAGTAGTTTTCTTCTGAATTCCTTGGG